AGGTTTATTTTGTTGAGCAAAAAAAGCCTCAGAGCCCTGATGTCAAAAGAGTTACAGGGGCAGTGTGTGGAAACAGTGGATTCACAGATGGGAGAAAACACCTTCAGAGATAGTTGCTCCCACAGTGCCCTGCTGCTGGGCTCCATGTGCAGTGCTCCTCACACCATCCCAGGCCAGGTGGGCTCTGAGCCTGGCTCTCCCACCCATGTTACTTTCCAGTTACTTACCATCAGTATGACCTGCAGGGGTCCACCGATGGCCAGAGCAGGGGAGGGGCTGTATCTTTAGGATCTGTATATGACCAGGATTCCCCTTTCACCTTTCTTGTGGAAACCTGCATTCATGTCCTAACACTCTTCTTAGCTTCATAGTATATCAAGGATAATAATAGAATATGATCAGCTTATAAAGAACCCCTGGGTTTATATCACAGCACAGGAGAAACATGGCCACATCAATGTTTATAGCAGTTCAATTCACAAATGCTAGACTATGGAACCAACCTAGGTGTCCCTCAATAGATGAATGGATAAAGAAAATGTGGTACATATACTCAATGGAATATTATTCAGCTTTAAAGAAGAGTAAAATTATGGCATTTGCCAGTAAATGGTTGGAGTTGGAAAATAGCATTCTAAGTAAAGTAAGCCAATCCTACAAAACCAAAGGCCAAATGTTTTCTCTAATATGTGAATACTAATTCACAATAAGGTGAGGGGCACTAAGGAAGAATAGTGTTACCTTAGATTAGGTAGAGGAAAGTGATGGGAGGGAAGGAGAGGGGATGTGGGAACAGGAAAAATAATAGAATGAAATAGACATTATTACCTTATGTGTATATGTGACTTCATGACCAAAATGATTCTATAACAAGTACACTCAGAAAAAAGAAATCGGGGCTGGGGTTGTGGCTCAGTGGTAGAGTGCTCGCCCAGCATGCACAAGGCACCAGGTTCCATCCTCAGCACCACATAAATGTAAAATAAAGATATTGTATCCACCTAAAGCTTAAGAATAAATATTTAAAAAAAGAGAAATCATATCCCATCTATGTATATCAAAGTGTATAAATGCATTCTACTGTCATGTATAACTAATTAAAACAAATAAAAATTTTTAAAAAACCTTTACATCAATATTTTTGAGTTTGGTAATTAGATTTCACCTTTCATATTAATTATTTAAGTTTTATAACAAAGTTACATTAGGCTTATAAAATAGTTTCTTTCTCCTCCTCCTCCTTCATACTAGGGTTGAACCCAGGGACCTGTAATCACTAAGCCACACCCCCAGTTCTGTTTAGTTTGAGACAGAGTCTCACTAAGTTGTAATGAATGACTTTGAACTTGTAATCATCCTGCCTCTGCTTCCTAATTGCTGGGATAAAAGGCATGTGCCACCATGCCTGGCCAGTTCTTTCTCTTCTTGAAAATGATTTGAACAATATTTATTATCTTATTGTTTGGTACAATTCAACTCTTCTGTCAGAGTCCATTATTTGACTTTGGAGGTTACTTTGAAATAGAAAACATAAGTAGTTGAGATTTATGATAGATTGTTCAGGAAAAGTCTGAGAGTATAACTTTATTTTGTTTAAAAAATTTGTAGTTATTGATGGACAGCATGCCCTTTAAATTTATTTTAATTCCATGCTAAAGATAAAACCTAGTGTCTCACATGTGCTAGGCAAGCACTTTGCCACTGAACCACAGTCCCAGCCCTGAGAGTATAAATTTAGAGATATAAGAAAGATAAGAATTAATCTTTGTGGACTGTTCAACTCCAGGGCTGCAAATATCCCAATGTACTGTTTACCCATCCTGAAGGACTTAGAGGACTCAATGGAGAGGTATTAACATTTCATTGATTACTCATCCCTGGATTGTGATGGGAAGGGGTACAGTGGGCGCACTGTACCTGTAATCTAGTGGAATATACAGGATAGATAGTAAGCCCAAACTGCAGGTGGCTTTCTTCAGCTGCTTTTTAGGTACATTCCTTTACTTTACAACAAAGGTCACTCTGTTTATATCCTCTTCTGAGAACTAGAGATAAGAAAAGAGGCAGGTCCTTCTCTCCCATTTCCCTAATTATCATCATTATAAAGACCTTCTTATCTCACTGCAATCTTTTCTAGGCACTGATTTTAACTGAATAGTAGACATTGCATGTTAAAAAGTTCTAGGAGGTTGAGACTATCAGTGCAGTGTCCAAAATAGGAGTAGTTTTGGAGGCTCTGCATAGAGGTAGGTATAGTGTTCCAGGTATCGGGAACTCCAAGGGCAGAGACTGGAGGATGGGAAAGAGCATGACACTTTTGAAAAAATTAGTCTAGAGGACAGGAGCAAAAGAGTAATACAAGGGCCTGGCAGTGGTGCACAACTATAACCCCAAGGGCTTGCTGATTCAGAAAACTTGCAAGTTCAAAGCCAGCCTCAGCAACTCAGTGAGACCCTAAATGGCTGGGGATGTGGCTCAGTAGTTGAATGCCCTGGATGGTTCAATCCCCAGTACCAAAAACCAAAATAAAACAACCCCAAAGTCCAGAGTAATTCAAGGAAGGTGATAGAGACAGCCAGCCATGGCTGATGAAACAGCCTTGCAGAATATGCTGAGGTTGGGGGGTTATTTCCACTCTAAATCTGATCCATGCACCTGGAAGGAACAAAACAGGAGTTCATATGTCAGGGTGGGAAACAGGTCATTAAGAAGGCAGCTGCTACGATCACATAAGTTGGTTTACAGACGTCTCCACTGAGTGTCACAATAAAAAGTACCATGTGCTATTAAAAAAAGGCAGACTTCACTAAATAAATGAGCCAGATGTCAGACTCTAGGAGTTCTAACGTCACAATAGGGTGAAATCATAGATTTGGGTGCCTTTACGTAGGGTAACTGAAAAAGATTGGCAGGAAAAGATTGCACCTAGCAAGGGATAAAGCTAAGTAAGAATGATTTTACTTGACCAAGGCTATCATGAGCGGAAAACGGTCACATGCTAGAGAGTAAGCCAGAGTCAATTTGCACTTTCATCGCAAGGGACATGACGATCCTGGCATGTGATCATTATTGAATGTTTCAGTGGATTCGCTCTTCAGACATCAGTATCTTAAAGACAAAAAAGAAGCCACTACCTCAGCGTAAATAGATGGTAACTGCAAAGATAGACCTAATGACACATTAAGCCCTCCTCCTTGCACATACCCATACAAACAGAAATTCCAAAACAGCTTGTTAGTTCGAACTCAGTCCAACCTCCACAGAGGAGCTGCGAACAGGGACTTCCAGGGCTCAGTCCAACCTCTGTAGGGAGCTGTAGGCAGGAAGTTCC